TAAAATATTTTGGTAGGTTCCCTCCTTTTTTTTTTGGGTTACCTTTTTTTTTTTTTGTTTTTTCCCCCCCCCCCGGCCTTGGTGGCCCCCCCGTGTGAAAATTTTTTTTTTTTTTTCCGGATTAGGTTTTTTCTTGGGGTCAAGGGGTGTCAGGTATGTATTTTGGCTTGGAGGATCCCATTCTCCCATTTTGGGTTTGGTTGGGGCTTTCGCCTTGGGGGGGGGGGGGGGGGGTACGCCACGGCGCCCCCCTAAACGCGGAAGAACATTACTATACCGCCAAGCTCCATGACGACGGAACCCTCAAGCCGGCAGTAAGGATAATCTGCACATCGTACGCACCATGTTTTATTCCAATGGCTTGTGTTCTCCTTCAAACAACCTCTAACCCTCTAACCCCCCCCCCGCCATCCTGTAGATCGACGATGCCCCTGAGGAGGCGGGTAGATACTAACAAGCGGGCGCTCGGAATATGACCAACTATGAGAATAGGTCATACAGCGCGTCCTTGTCTCGTCTCCCCAGCCAGGTGCTTGTCCACCCACGGGCCTAAGGGCCTGGAGGGTAGGAGGAAAGCCTGCCCGCCCGGCACGTATTATCCTTAATATGATCCCCCCCTCTCCCCCTCCAGGAAGTGATATCGATAGATTCGCTAGGCAGGATAGAATTGGGAAAACGTTTTTGAGCCACCCCTGGCAGGGTACATCATAGGAAGGGATGATTGGCAATCGGTGATCGGTCGCCAAAGAACAACAATGCTCCGGCTTCGCGAGGACGCGCGGTACCTTCTCCCTGACGCTACGAATTCATCGGATCGGTAATTTGTCTATACCAGACTCTCATCTGTGGAAGAGATGGAATTGGTGTTGTCTCATAAGGCAAGAAAAACGAATCAAACGATGAGTTATGCCCCCCCCCTCCTCCCTGTGTTTGGTGGGACTAAAATGGCCGCGGTGGCTGAGGCTAAGCCCCAGAAGAGCGGCGTGGTCGGGTTCGTGTTGAACCAGATGAACCAGGACATCCACTCGATCGAGCGACTCCGGGTACGTCTGACAGGTCGAAGACAACGCAGCGAAGTTCGACCCCGGCCCGGAGGAGGCCTTCAAGTACGTGCAGGTGAGAAATTTCGACGAAATGTCGACGACCGACCAAGAAAAGAAGAAAAGAAGCCACGTCTAGATAGTGAACGAGGTAGCACCATCTACAGAGAGTTCGCGCAACTCCGTACCTTCCCGCGGATGTGGTGTTTAGGTATGGAGTTACAGTAGAGCAACCCCGCGCCTTCCCGCGTAGTGGTGTTTAGTATGTATGGGAGCTGTTATGTTAGCCCAGGATCGAATGATGAAGACAAATGATCTCCTTTTGGTTAGCGTGAAACGCCGTACTCCTTCCAGTGTAGCGAAGTTAACAGTACAGTAGTAACACATGCGTTGATGCGTGCTCTCGGGGGGCCCGCACCTCGACACCCAATAGCATGACCCCCGCCCTCCCACATACAACGTCTAGGCCGGAGATAGTATCCAAGCACTGAAAACATCGGGGATGACAACAGCAAGCACCCCGTATCGATAAACAATGGAAGGATAATACGTCCCGCAGGTTGCACTAGATACCACACCTGGAACGATTTTCAAAGCTTCATTGCCCCACGACGAAGAGGGTGCCGTAATCAAAGGACTCATTTTCGGAAAGCCCTCGACGATACCGTTCCAACGCCGCCGTTTTCGGCACCGTCACTCCTTTCCTCTCAAGCAATCGAGTTTCTAAGGTCGGGCCAGGGGGTGTGATATCTTGCATCATGCAAACTACGGTACACACCAAATACGTTTTTGGTTTTGCGTAGGGAAGGAAGAATGGGCGGGAATCTGATGGGGGCTCCGT